CTTAATTTATTGCCTCACGAGCCCAATTATGAACCCAATAATAAAAAAATTTAATATGCCATAATTCCTTCAAACATCAATGAAGCAGAACGAAATGCAAACTTGATCTATAACTAATCAAGGTAAAGTCTCATGCTATAAATCAGCTTCCATATCTGAGAGCGTTTAGAAAAAATGAAAACCTTGACAAATTGAAAAGTTCTTAATTCCGTAAAAAAATATTGAAGCTGAACGGCATTCAAACTTGATCTGTAACTAATCAAGATACACTCACAAACTAAAAATCAGTTCAATATCTGCAAGCGTTTAGAAAAAAGTTAGGAAAACCAAGTAGGACAGACACACAGACATAGGACAGACAGACGGACGGATAGACGATCGGACGGACCTACGGACGGACAGATACAGAGGAAACCTATAGTCTCCCTGGTTTCATTGGTAGGGGACTAATAAGCTTAATCAATATTATGCCGGACGACACTAATGGAATAGATTTTTTCAATCTATAGCTTTAACTTAGTTCTTTCGTGGGAATATACACAATGTCAATTTTTAAACGCCCTTCCTTCTTTCATTGAAATAGTTAATAACAATATAGCAAAAAAGATTTTTAAAATTGCAGCTCGTATTACTTTACATGTAACCCCCTTCTTCGCAGTCTCGCATTTTAACTATACGATTTCCCATTTCTTTTGCAAAATGATGCATTACCATTTCTCTCGCAATTGCACATTCAAAAGTAAATGATCTTTAACTTTTGTCAATTTTATTTATGTCAATTCTATTTTTATACTTTCAAAAAGCTAATAAAATGAGAAAATCTATAATCTTGTTAAAATATCACGTCACAATTATTTACGCTTAACTTTAGATCACGTTAGAAAGTGCTTGCGGAGAAAATTTCTATTCTGAATATTCTTAAATGACACGAAGATGTTACCAATCCAGTAGTTTTTAAATGGATCATCAAAACCTTGTTTTAAATCTCTCAAAGTCCGATATTGCTACACAAATATTTCGTCCCATTAGATGCAGTTTTCTTTCGTGAAGATCTAATGTATAATTTATGGTTTCTTTTAAATTTTGATTTCTTTGACAATTAGAGTCATTCGTTGCACTGTCAAATGGCAAACCCAAAAATGAAATAATAAAACTTGAGCCAAGAATACAAAACTCCATTCTCATTGGTAATAATATAGGTGATAACTGCTCTGCTAATCCATGTTGTATGCCGGATGTTCGAAAACAATAAGACTCATTGCTATATCTAGGGACAGTGTTGTTTCCAAGTTGAAAAACAGAAATATTGCTAATAACTATATTGAACCAGATGACGAAGTTTGCTACAAGAATAAAAATACTTGAAATGTTCACAACTAAGTTTCTTGTAAACGTTTTGTTTTTGTGATATGATATAAAACTCAACTCAATCAGAAGAAATAGCAATAGAATCGCATTACTTATCATTGAAAGAATCATTTCAGCTGTTCTTAAGGAAAACAAAACGATGCATTCTATATAAATAGCAGCGTAGATGGAAACATGTACCATAACTCCTAGTCCAAAGATCCAGAGGAAAATTATTCTAAGTTTCAGAGATGGATCGGCAAGTTTGTGTTGAAGGTGTCCTTGGGTGGTTAGTCTTCTTCTGCAACCAGACACGATGAGAATAATCAGAGATATCAATCCAAGAAAAACAGATAGCATCATTGCGACCCACGCCCTTGTTTTAGCTCTGTCTGAATACGCCTGTTCCACTGCATTGATTCCAATGATGACAAAAAGACCGGACAGGAGGTGTGAGAACAACAAGATACTGATAGTCTTCCCACCATTGCTGGATCCTGATCGCCCTGAGAATGGACAAAACGGTTGTATGAAAATTCTACAGAGGTTTTTCAAGAGCAATATATCTGCCATCAAGCTTCATCAATTGTCACCAATTTAATACACATCGACTACAAGACTATCAGGAAGTGTTTTGTGGCATGTATTAGTCAGAAAGCAATTGAAAGTGGTCAAGAACCGGTAACTATTCAGAAAAAGGAAACATATAGGAAATATTGATGGCACTTAAATAGCTGTTATCTTCCCTAAACCTTTCAAGTAAAATAAATTTGAGTGAATATTTTTATTCTAAAATCTGAAATGCTAAAGGAGTTTTTTTCCCAAGAATCAAACATTGCTAAATCGAAATATCTCTGTCTAATTACTATTATTTTATAAATTGTTTATATCTTGTTTTACACCAAAGGATAATTTACCAAGTAGAAAATTTAAAAAAAAAGAATAGAGTCTATCAGATTATGTTAGCGACATTCTTTTCTTCTAATGAGAAAATAAAGGTTAAAATTGTATAAGCGACCAAATGTGTTATGTTTGGAATTGTAAAAAAGTATATGTTTAATCTAACAACCAAGCTCTTTAAACTTGATGACTTTAACTTTTCCATATTTAACTTTCCTACCATGGCAGCAATAAACTTTCATCACTTGCATACGGAGTTAATTCGACAGGCAACAGCATGCTCTAATTATGAACAATTTCTTAAACGAGTTAAATTATTGACAGTCAAGTTGATGAAAAAAGGGGTATCAGCCATCTCGTTTAACGTCGCCATTTTGTAAGTTCTGTGGACGATACAATGATGATAACGTAGTACTTTTAGTGATTCGCCTTTGCAACAGCTATTATTTTTGTAAGAGTTAAAGATAAGAGATTGATAGACTTTTGTCCAATAAATGCATATTTTTGCGATTGACTGTATATTGTTTAACGTCCCTCTCGAGAATTTTTCACTCATATTGAGACGTCACCGTAGGCCGGTGAAGGGTTTCAAATTTAGACCTATACTCGGCGCTCAGGGCCATTGAGCAGTGAGGGATCTTCATCGTGCCAGCGCCTATCGTGACACGGGACCTACGTTTTTAAGGTCATATCCGAAATACCCGTGACTTTCACTTCAGATGCCGAGCGCTTGGCGAAGGAACAGTCGCTACCTATTTTCCCGTCTTAGGTTTGACGCGACGCCGGGAACGAGCATCGAACCCGGGCCTCCCGATCACGAAGCGAACGTTCTACCACTAGGCTACCTTGAACGGTCTATATATTTGCGAGGATTTTTATGTAATTAAGAAATCGATTATAGTTAGTGTACATTGACTTCTTCTAGGAAAAGAATTAAACAGATAAGCAATAAATGCATTAAAATATTTTTACTGTTGTTTTATCATACGATCTTTAATTTTTGAAAAAAAAACTATTTTTTAAAAGAAAATAGTCATTCGTTTGCATAAAAAATTAAACCACTAACCTATGCATTCTCCACCATTTAGGTCAATCTTTTACACAGGGATGGAAAAACTCAATTGGTATTTACGTTTATCGACGCCAGCTATGGTTTGCATGAAATATATGGAGATAACAAACATAATTTCAGATCAAAAGTCCATGAAACAATTCATATTATTATAGTTTCATGTTAAATACTAAAATCTGATTGGTTTATCCTGAGCCTTAGCAACACACGTGACAACGGGTAACACAACGGTAATGCCACATGCGTGGAAATTATGCATGTACGGTTCAGCGTAGAATCCTCAAAACGTCAGTTGCGCGTTTGAAAGAACCGGAATTAACTTGACGTCAAGAAAAGCTTGCGTCCGATATAGCTAACTTGAAAACAACAAACGACAGACGATAGTTGCCTGCGAGTGTAGGAAACATGCTTGCGAGCCAGAAATAAGGAAACTTTATATGATAAATGACTCTAATTCGAGTATCAAACAAACAATAAGGAGATTAGTGAACCGGTGAGTGTGAAAGCTTTCTATACATGAACGTAAAGACGATCGACGGTTTTTTTTGCTGACGTCCTAAATCAATAAGACATTCAGTATAATAAAATAAATGGTGCCTGTTTTGGAGGGTAACATTTGAAATTGAGACCCCTCGGAAAACCATTGTCAACCTCCGCTGACAATGGTTTTCCTTCGGGTGTCAATTTCAAATGTTATCCTCTAAAACAGGCACAATTTATATAATATTTGCAGAGCAATCACGGACCTTTAGAACATCAGAAACAGGACAAGGTGCCAGGATGAGTGAGCATCCATTGCTTATCTGTCACACCCGCTGTGTGCTAATTGTAATGAGCAGGAAGTAACGGAAAAACCCGTCGTCAATTCAGTGTATAAAAAATAAATTATCAATAAGCTACAGAATGAATAAAAACGTCAGTCAGCATTTGACTAAATGACAAATAGAAAATTCGGACGAGGTCATTGTTCAACGTACATCAACACTTGTAATAAAAAGGTCAATTTTTTTTGTTTTTAGAAGAAACAGTACGTTGTCACGAATAAACTATGTGGTAAAGACGTGTTTCAAAGTGCAGAGGTTAAGGCAATCAAGCTTAAGATAAGAGTCACTTATAAATCTTTGGACATTTCATGCCTCTTATCAGTCGTAGAGAAGATCTGGAAATGTTGATATTACTAAGTCTTCTGTTCTATCAGCAAATCTGTTTTGCTTTTGAATATACTGATGAACTCCGTATGTTAGCGAATAGAGTGGCCCAGTTGGAGAGGACTATTGGAAAAGAACAGCAGAATTCAGTGCACGGAGAATTTCAATCAGTGAATTTGGAGTTAAAATCAGATATTCCACATCCAGACTTCAGCAGAACAGATAAGCCACGTATTCAGGAAACTGAATTACACATACCAGGCAAAGGCACGAACGATTCAAAACTTAAAACCTGTGATGATCGAATTCAAGCTTTAGAGAGAACAGTTCGTGAATTATCCAAGCTTTTCAAAGTTCAGGAAAACGATATCCAACATATTCACAATCTTGAAGCAAGACTTGATGAACAGGAAAAAATCATTTCATATTTAAGAAAGCACATTTCAGAAAATGAAATCAATATTCAAACAATTCAAAATGAAGAAATGATACCTAAAGGCATAGAAATTAAGGAATCTGATGCATCCCTACCTAATGAAACTGGAATATCCAAAATCCAAAGGATTAAGGAGAAAAACAGTCCTTCTGTAGCAAATATCAACAAAAGTAAGGGATTATCATTTTAACATTCCATCAATTCTGATGAATTAACGGTAGAACGGTACATAATTCCTTGATGGGATCTGGTACCATAGATTACTGAGCGTCCCGACCTACAGGTCAAATCCGTCATATACTCCCTGCTTGACGGAAAATAACGAGAAAATCCGAACCAGTTTAGTGTGTACATAATGACCTCACAATTAGATTAGATTGAATAAACATAAATCGAGTTTTAGAAATTGTTCTGGTGTAGAGCATTGTCTTGAATTTCGAATAAATTGAAAGATAAAACCCCATTTGCAGATGATAAGGATATGTTGCAGTATAATAAGTTAACTTTGTTATATTGCGTCAACTCCTTTATCATTAATTTTGTTTGCTAAGTTACCAATAACGTTTTTGTTTCTAGGAAAATATTAGATATGAATCATATGAGTCGGACACTGTGGTATCTTCTTTCTAAAGCTCACTTTCGTCTTATGAATGAAAATAGCATTGCTAATTGATAATGCGTCGTTGAAATGTCAAAATATTGAAATGTGACAACAAGTGTTTTCTTTCTTTTTTTTTCGAGTATAAGGCTTTGAATAAATTCTGCTTCATATGAATACAAAAATAGGTCTGCTAATAACTGGCGTAACTAGTACTCATGGGATTTCTGACAGATTGTTGAAAAGCACATAAATGAATGTAACAGTATAATGGAATATGCACCTTATGATTATTACTGAAAAATAATATAAAAAAGAATAAAAGACTATTTTACCTTGAAAAATTTCAAGTTGGTAGTAAGGTGTCATTTCTTTAATTAAAAGCTTGGGCTAACTGTACATTATTCAATCTTTCTGTATACTCCGCCCATCGGGAAAGAACCCTACATAGAACTAAGCTACATTTAAATTTTAAATAATCATCTTTTTTCTGTACCTAAATTTAGAAAAAATTGATAACACAATTTTTACTGTTATATTTATTATTTAAGGATTAAAAATTCGAATGTTTACCACTCCGATTTCTTCGGGGGGGAATCTCGAAAAGTTGTTAAATTTTACTATTGGACCCTATGGGAATTGGAAAATTGCCAAATTATACACATATTTTCCTTATTTTTCTATTCCCGCCCTAGGGATTTCTTTTTCATTCAAGTAGATAAAAGTTAATGTAAAAAGTCACCAAATTGTGAAATTTCAAAAATGTTCACCATCTAGGTTGGTCTAGGTAGGAAGTAATTACTAAGTCTATTTTTTCGAAGCTCAATTCCTCTAAAATTGCCATATTAAGGTATAAATACATATCTTTGCAGATGAATGATCGGCGCCTACAATTTTTTGGTAAAAATAGCAATTTTTAGATTGCTAGTATGTTTCTTGGCAAGTTTCTGTCATGAGTTTTTAGTATAATATCCATGGAAGTCTTGAACATACAAGCGTCATTTTTCAGCGTCATGTATTGCTTACAAAATCCGAAAACAGTGACGTTGTTAGAGCCACTTTAACTTTCTTTTTAGGGTCTTCCATCTTCAGCGGAAGACCCTTCTATTATTCTTCGGTTTCTTTTTTACCTTTTTTCTTTTTATTCTTTTTTCTTCTTACAAAATTTGTGCAAGCGATTTCTCGTTGATGGCTCGTTCGATTTGCTTCAAATTTTCACGGTCGATGCTTTGTCATCTGAAGTTAATTGCGGCAATTTTTTTTTTTGAAATTCACTTCCGGTCGGAAGTTATCGCCCTTTGATCGAAATTTAGAGGACCTTCTTGTCTGTGATGGAACTCAAAAACGGCTCAAGCTAGAAAGCTGAAATTTTCAGTGATGATAGAGGACATGTTGCCATGTTGCACCTGGGTCAGGATATTTTCTGGAAATGCCTAGTATGGAAGCTCGCTAGGGGTCAAAATTTAGGATACGTTTTATGAGTGATTTCTTGAGACATTTTGCATCATATCTTTTAAAATATAATTATTTTGTTAGAACATACTGAACAACATTTGAGCAAAATATAAAGATCTGTAATATGATATCAAGAAAAATGTGCTGACTCATCAGATTAAGGACTGAAAGGGGCCAACAGTTTTTATTTAATAACTCTTTTAAAGTCAATATTTTGTTATACATTATTGAATCAAAAATGTTAATCTCAACAATCTACAACTATATATAATGATTTTTATGTCATATGAAACATAATTAGGGGCCACAAGGGGTCAGAATGCTAAATCCTTACCGCTTTATATCTCGAAAGGGAGAAATATTTTGATAAGCAATATTGAAGAAAAGATGTTCAAAATAATGTTCTGAATAAAATGCAACCTTTTTTTTTGCTAAACGTCCCCATTAAAGAGTTGAAGGGTTGGCCCCTAAATATTTCTTTTGCTAATAGCTCAAAAACGAAAAAGAATTTCTGAACAGTTGTTGAACACAAAATGTTCAAAATCTTAAGAGCTTTAAGAGGAGATCCCGAAAAAGGGGCTGGGCACTCGAATTAGGGGCCAAGAGGGGCCAAAAATCTTCAGTCGATAACTCTTTATCATTTAATATTTTGTTATACATTACTGAAGCAAAGATGTTCATCTCAACCATCTACAACTATATGTTATGATTGTTATGTCGTGTGGTACATAATTAGGGGGCCAAAAGGGGCTAGAATGCAAAATCTTTGATGCTTTATATCTCGAAAGGGAGAAATATTTTGATAAGCAATATTGAACAAAAGATATTCAAAATTATGTTCTGAACAATATGCAACCTTTAATTTTTTGCTAAACGTCCCCATTAAGGAGTTGAAGGGTTGGCCCCTAAATATTTCTTTTGCTTATAGCCCTAAAACGAAAAAGAATTTCTGAACAGTTATTGAACTCAAAATGTTCAAAATCTTAAAAGCTTTAAGTTAAGATCCTGAAAAAAGGGGCTGAGCACCCAAAAAAGGGGCCAAGAGGGGCACTCGAATTAGACTCGGCCTCGTTAAACAGAACACTTTTGTGTTTTAAAACATTACAAAAGAATGGATATGAGACTTTTTCCTCTTCAAAATTTGTAAGAAAGTGATTTGTTAAAACCAATTGTGATTGTAATAGTTTTTTGCGTATCTATGTATCGAGTTCCGCAATATCAATTATACAATATTCCTGGAAATAAAATTTAAATTCCAATAAATTTATTATATGCACCTCCTTAATATAATTTGCTCTACATCAGAAACTTTTGTAGATTTTAGTTTTAAAATTACAATCAAGCTTATTGTTTAATTATTTCAGAGCGATTGCTTTCCCCTGTAACAACAACACCATATCCTTCTTACATGAGTAATCCCATTGCCTTCTACGCCTATATGTCGAAAAACACACCAACAGTAACAATTCAGCATCCCTTGTCCTTTGATGTCGTTAAAACCAACTTTGGAAATGGGTATCACTCCACCACGGGGGTATTCATGGTGCCGGAAAGCGGGGTTTATGTGTTTACTTGGACGATCAGAATTGGTGATAATAATCATCATTCAACACAGTTGATGGTGAATACGGATGAACTGGGTATAATTTACTCACATGTTGCCTCGGATTCAGATGTTGGAGGAACAGGTATTGTTGTGGCGCACGTCGATAAAGGAGACGATGTTTACGTGAGGACACATGCTTCGTGGAATAGTGGAGCTATTTATAGTACTACTGCAGGAAGATCTTCATTTGCAGGCTGGAAACTATTTTAAGTGTAAGATTAAATATCATTAGGAAATCAAAACCGATTAACTTTAGAAAAACCATTTCGTCAGTATCATCCAATGTGACTTTCAGACCACAGGGTCTTGACTCAATCTGAGCAAAATTGAGTATATAGTATAATAGGGGAAAAGGGACCTAACACGCCCCATTAATTTCTGGGTGCCTCGCTTCAAACTCTCAAAACTTTTATTTTTAGTCAAAAAATCCATAAAATGTTTTGCCATGTCAAAAGGCAGAATGTTATCCTTAATTTGTCATAAATAAATCGTTAATCTTACTTCATTAAAACTTAAAAAAAATATCCGAACTCCGAGAATTGGGTCACCGTAAGGCATAACCTCGCACCATTTTTGCATGCAATTTTCGTTCATTACCTTGATTTTCACGCACTTGTCATCCGTTGCACTTTATCTTAGAGTAGCGTTTCATAATATAACTCCTTCTGGACACCCTCACAATATTTGAATGACTGTTAATAGTTCCATCTCGAGAGATCACATCCATTTTCACCACCGATTTAGCCTAAGAGGTCAATTGGGTCAGCCATATTTGAAAGATTTTGACGTCCCGCACTTAATGACTGGGGTTTAAAAGGTGAAAGACGATTGGACAATATTACTTGGAAAGTTTCGTAATTACTGAATAAATATCGCTTATAAAAATTTTATTGCAATTATATTCGTTGTTAATCGTCTTTCACCTTTTAAACTCCAGTCATTAAGTGTGGGACGTCAAAATCTTTCAAATATGGCTGACCCAATTGACCTCTTAGGCTAATCGGTGGTGAAAATGGATGTGATCTCTCGAGACGGACGATTAACAGTCATTCAAATATTGTGAGGGTTCCAGAAGGAGTTATATTATGAAACGCTACTCTAAGATAAAGTGCAACGGATGACAAGTGTGTGAAAATCAAGGTAATGAACGAAAATTGCATGCAAAAATGGTGCGAGGTTAACGACGGCGACCCAATTCTCGGAAGTTCGGATATTTTTTTTTAAGTTTTAATGAAGTAAGATTAACGATTTATCTATGACAATTAAGGATAACATTCTGCCTTTCGACTGGCAAAGCATTTTATGGATTTTTTGACTAAAAATGAAAGTTTTGAGAGTTTGAAGCGAGGCACCCAGAAATTAATGGCGGCGTGTTAGGTCCCTTTTCCCCTATTATACTATATACTCAATTTTGCTCAGATTGAGTCAAGACCCTGTGTTTCAGACTTTATTTTTTCATGAATTGATTTTTTTGTATACTAGACTAATAAAGAGGTTTTGGGTTTAACGCTCTATTTTTTTTAATCTGATGCATAGTAAAGTTACGTTATTTTGCATTCTCCACTATATATGGTAATGAATAACTAAAAAAATTTTTCTTGTAATATGAGTCATCAAAATAATGATTCGATGAATGATTGAATGAATAATATATATTGATATTCATTGACTTGCATGTTAATATTGATCAATGTTATTTGAAATTTGAAATGAGCTAGGTGCAAATTATTCACCTCGTTCCGAATTTCCTCCACGCTTTGAGGAATAAATAATCCATTAATTATCCATAAATGCAAATATATAGTATTGAATGGCTTACCTCTGGTAATTCAGATAAATAATAAATCCAATCACTGATAATTAGGGTAAAACCTTACAGTTACACTCTATTGTTCATACTAAGCGGTAAAAGATAAAAAAACTTGGGAATTCCTGGATGTGTGTAATAGTTAACCGAATCCGACGCTTTCCGACTTTATGGTGCCAAATCGTCATGTATAAGACGCCATGAAGAGTGTAACTGCTTTATATACGACCTCCTCGGACTCTAACGATCAGACGTCTGCAGTTCCACCTAGAAAGGTTCTGCTAAGACAGAAAAAAAAAAAATGTCATGACACTCACGCAACAAGGTTCAAATGAGTTTAGATAGGTTATTATTTACCTGAACTTATATTGAACTGTTAGCAACGTTTGATTGCTTTATTTTACGCAGACACAAGTAGTGATCTGAATTCATTGTTATTTTTACGCACCCTCCTAACCTCATTAGCATAAATCGGAAGAATTGGAGATAAACGTAATAAAATATGAACAAAATCCGTAAACTCAAACAGCTTTCCTCGCGGGGGAATTTACAACCAACATGCTACAGGTGAAAATCGAGAGAGAAATTCAACATAAAAAAAGAGGTAAAACTTTATGTTATCTCGATTAATAAGATTTGTAAATTGCAAAAAGTTGAAAAACAAACGTTTCTTTACCTGAAAAGTAAAAGTGGGTTTGCGTTTTTATTCTGTCAAGTGCTATTGCACTTTAAAGTGTCAAAACAGCACCTCTCGATTTTGTAAACATGTTTCCACGTGGAAGGGAGTAGTTGTGATGGTCAAGATTAGCCCACATATATTGATTTAGTGAACAAAAACACTCGTAAGTAAATTTCATTTATTTTTTCGATTACCTCTAGCACAAAATGGCTAAATATTTTAGGGCATGTTTGTCAAATGCTGTTAATAGCATGTCTAAAATTGAAGAGAAAATGCAGGTGTGCTATAGTTCGTTCCTACTTGTAAGGTAGTTCTATGCATGCATATGCAGGAGCGTATAAAAGTCATTATTCTTACTTATCAATACCCAGTGATTTGTGAGAACCATATGTGTTTTTTTCAAATAAAGAGACTAAAATTTAATTCTATCCGTACTGTGTTGTATGCACAAGAAGTCCTTCCGAATTCCCCCTACACATATACATGTGTACCTGGATAAAGGATTAAAGGTTTGTTTACATTTGTTTGCAGTTTTAATAGTGTCAGCTGTTTATATCAATCATGCAGTTTTCACTAGAGCCTACTGATCAAAATATGGTTGTTACTTTTCTAATTTAATATCATAGAATTTATGATCAGCTCATCATGATGTCAATGCAGTTCTCACATTGACATACTTGTGTATATATCAGGTATGAAACTTCACAAAGCAGTTGTCGCCCACGGGCGCAGTGATTAGAGCGTCTGTCTAAGTCGGGAAGTAAGGAGTCAATCCTTACATATCGCTAATTCGAATCCCACTGTCGGACATGGAGACCGGTCCTTGGATGAGACCGTATAAACCGAGGCCCCGTGTCGCTGTAGGGCTGGCACAAAAAAAAATTCCTCCCTGCTCAAAGGCCCTCACCCCAAAAATTTTTAGCCCTCCACCGGCAAGTGGTGGCATCTCCATATGAGTGAAAAATTTTCAAAAGGGACATTCTAAAAAACATACAGTCAAGCAATCACATAAGCAGTTTATGAAAATTTTGAATATTTCTATGTGTACCACTATTTTCCCTTTTAAAGTATTGCCCATTAAAAGTAGCTGGAAAACATGTAGTATAAATATTACAAAACTAGAGGTACTGTGAGCAATGAGCTCTGACACTAAATGATACTCATCGCTAATTCTCATATGAATATAATGACTGTGTCCATGTTTTGCTATGGGAAACCCCAAATTGTGGTGGATCAAAAAGTAAAAAAGAAGATGCACAATTGCAATGTGTAATATAGATTCTGTGAAAGTCATCAAATATCACTCAGTGGTATTAGAGGAATTAGCGGTTAAGAGATGGGTACACCAAAGCATAACAGACGGACAGACATACCGATTACTTAATATACCCTCCCGCTTTTCAAGCAGGGGGTATAATAATATACCCTGCCGCTTTTCAAGCGGGGGGTATAATAAATTACATGCATGCGTGCATCAATCTGTGCAATGAAAAGATATTGCTAAAGATAATTTACATTGATGTTTTGCATTTTTGTTTGTAAGAATACATGTATTTAATTTACATATTGTTTGATTATTTAATGTGTTAAATGAAAAGTAATTTTCTTTTTTGTTTTTATTGCAGGTACAGCTGTAGAGTACATTTTGAACAGCCATCTCCAGGTATGACAAAAATAACACAATTGACCCTATAAGGTTAATAAACAAACATTTTTGAATTTAGAAAATGTATGTAATGAAGCACAAATGTGAAAACATTTTAGGCCCAGGCTGAAAAAAGTTCTTTTCACTGCTCACTCAGGCTTTTTACTGGTCAGATCATCATAATATCACTATCCCACTCCCAGGCTACTAGACTTTAAAAAAAAGAGACTGACCCAAAACCATAATAATAATAACTAGATGAGTCTCGTTGGAGCAACGAGTGGGTCTTCCGTCCAATTCTTGATGAGATAAAATAAAATTTTGATTGCGATTTTCATTCTAAAATAATGATTTACCACAATCTGTAAAAAGACATTGAACATTAAATCTTTAAAAAATCGGCATTTTGCCCCCAAAGGCCCCTAATTTTAGGGAAAGGCCCCCCTTTTTTTATATCATTTTAAAAATCTTAAGATTTTGAACATTTTGTTGTCAACAATTGTTCAGAAATTCTTTTTCGTTTTTGAGATATTAGAAAAAGAAATTTTTAGGGGCCAACCCTTCAACTCCTTAATGGGGACGTTTAGCAAAAAATGAAAGGTTGCATATTGTTTAGAACATTATTTTGAAACTTTTTTTATTGCTTATAAAATATTTCTTCCTTTTGAGATATAAAGCATCAAAGATTTA